GGTGGGATGGAAGGGTGAATGTGGCTTAGGGAGTCCTGGTGCAGAGAGCTGCGCTACAGACTTACCCCAAGAGGCCTGAGGATAGTAGTGCAGGCTAGGAAAGTTAGCCGGTGGTGCAGGCCCAGGGAAACAGAGAGAGGTGAGGGCAGGGCCAGGACCAGAAGTGGTGCTCCTGCAGCCCAAGAAAGGGACTGAGTTGCTCTGGGTGAGAAGGATCAGGAAGCAGTATTGGTTCTCCAGGTGTCTGGGGCCCCAAGACTAGGAATGGCGCAGGGCCCAAACTAGGAGTGTAGAGCGTAAGTTTTTTTTTAGGGCAGCGTACTGGGGAGGAAGATAGTATGCTTCTTGTTGTAAATAAACTGAAAAGATGTGCAGGCTGTTCAGACTGTCAGAATTCTTGTAGAAATTTTTAACTTCTGACAGCAGTTCTCCTTCGGACAGCGCCCTGTGCCTCACCACCTGGCTCAGCAGACCTTTGAGCATGCATCTGTAGTTTGCAAAAGATCTTGTGTTTTCTCTGAGTTTCTTCTTGCTCTCCTTTTACTCCTGGGCTAACCTGGAGAGAGCTGTTCCTTGTCTAAAAACTGATCGAGTCATTCAAATTCAGCAGCCAGTTCCTGTCTCTGCGCTTCCATCTCCTCTCTCAGGGCCAGGGGTCTTCTGCTCTGGATGCTTACTAACTTTGTAGCCTCTTTGACTTTTCTCTTCAAGGGCTTGATGAAGCCTTGGGTCTTCTCCCTGTGGTGAGTGACAGCCTCTGGATGGTTGTCACCTGAAGGCCACAGTGCCCATCGGGCCCAGTGCAGAGTTCACACAGAAGCTCTAGGTTCTCCTTACAGAAGAGGATCAGGTCCCGCTTGTGCTTCACACACGTGGTCCTGGGTTCCTGCCTCTTCCTCTTGCCACTGATGCTGTGGAGCTGCTTCATTCTTTCAATCATCCTTCCCAGCTGGATGTTGCTCCTGCAGTTCAGGTCTTGGCATGAGCGTCCATAGGCAGGACAGGGGAACCTGCCTTGTATATTTCTGAGTGTTGGATGCAGGTGTGACCAAAGTTGGGTCCACATTCCGTGGTGAGTGGGTCTGACAGTTCATCCAGACAGATGGGGCACTTGACCTATACCTGGAAACCTGACAAGGACACGGCCATTGCCAACAGGCTAGGAGTGAAGGTCTGGACTGAGGGGGATTTCTTCAGAAGGTTGGCCCTGGAGTGCTCACAGGGACAAGCAGTTTTGCACTTAGATCTCACCATCCTTTCTGGAGACGGCTGATGATCCCACTGCTGTCCCAGAGTTTCTCACAGTGGGTGGCAGTCTTTGAGTCTTTTTGAGCTTTTAAACTCTAACTCCAGCTACCAACAAAGTCCTTTACATGGGCCTGAAGCCAGTGACAGCTCCACTGGACAGCTACTCTTGTGGCCTCTGGTCCCTCAAGTTCGTTTGAGTAACAAATTTCTGGAGTAGATGGCTCTGAATGGTCCCAGGTCAGGAGCAGGAGCTCAGCACTGGACCTTTACATTTAAGTCAAGTGCGGCTGTTCTAAATTATATTTTTAAAAAGAACCTGAAACAAAAATTTAGAACTTGCTATCTTACAGTTCCATGGACCAGATGTTTAAAATCAGTGTTACTGGGCTAGAGTCAGGCCGTGTGCAGCACTGTTTTCTCCTGGAGGCTCTGCAGGGAGCATGGTCCTACACTCTTATCCCATGAGCTCTTCCTCACACCACTCAAACTTGCCATCCCATAGCCTACTGCTCACTCTGATCTCCTGCCCCCTGATTTTCAGGCCCATCCAGAAAATCTCAATAATCCAGAGTACTCAATTTTAAGATCCTTAGCCACCCAAGACCCTGTGCTGAAAAACAAAAAACAAAACACAAGAACCTGTTCAGCCTGTATTCTTATTTTCTATTCAGCAGCACTGGACGAACACTATATATTTAGTAAATGACAAATTGTCTTCTCCTCTTCCAATGTCCGGTGTCCCATGTCCCATATTCCATGAAATAGTAGAAACTGGGATTTGGAGTCTAAGAGATTGGGCTTCAAATCCTGTCTCTTCAACATAAGAAATGTTTGCTAATAGCTCCAAGCCTTTATTTTCAAATCAGAAAAAGAAGACAACAAGACTCAGATTATAGACTGGTTGGGAATATCAAATAGATAAACTCTGTAGAGGATCCCACTTCAAAATGGGAATTTTCTCCTCCTACCTTGTCTTTTTTCTATAAACATAACTACCACCCACAAATAGGCAAATAACAAATTTAAAGGTTATCAATTATAAGAAAATGTTACCATTATAAAAAATGTTCCTTTACACGGAGGCAGGAAGACCTACAACATTTATCATCAATTTTTACAACTTTAAGTGCAGGCAGGTTACCTATTGGATAGTAGTTGTCGGTAATCGCTGGCTTTCAAGGTTCATTTCCATCATGAATGCAGAAGGAATAGAGGCTATAGACACCAAGAAGGAAACTAGACTCTTCTGGGACCAACTGTACCAATAAGGGAAAATTCAAAGTCTAGGCGTTTATCTTAAACTGTCAGAAGCTGGTGTTTGGTGAGGTGTTGCAAACTCATGACGATAAAGTCTTTGATCCGTGAGTTCTCCATTTGTATCAGGAGCACAGAATTATTGCCCAATGCTTTGCTTAGGAAGTGGCCAAGATTTTATTTACTTCTGTGTTTGGCACTGTTTTGTTTTTGTTTTTGTTTTATTACAGGAAATACAAGAATGCCCTGGTGAAATAAATTGAGAAAACTCTAGGTTGAACAAAATATGCTCCCCTGCCTTGTTAATCTACATTATGGCTCACCAGGAACCAGGAGATAGGGAGAAGATCTCCAAAGTTATTTGGCTAGGAAAATGCTTTTTACAATAAATTTATTTTATTTTTGCGTATGTGTGTGTATATACCACAAACACACACACACACACACACACACACACACACACACACACACACATATGCAGATGCCCATGGAGGCCAGAAGAGGGCATTGAATCCCATGGAGCTGAAGTTACAGGTGGTTATGAGCCCCTTGATGTGGGTACTGGGAACCGAATCCAGGTTCTCTGCAAGAGCAGCAAGAGTTCGTAACCATTGAGCCATCTTTCCAGCCCTGCTTTTTTTTTTAAACATTTATTTATTTATTGTGTTGGGGTGTATACATGCTAGTGTGCATGTGTGATCCAAGGAAAGCTTGCAGGCTTTGGGTCTCCTCTACTACTATGTAGGTTTCAAGAATGGAGCTCAGGTCATTGGGCTTGGCAGGAAATGCCTCTGTCTGCTGAGCCATCTCACTGGTCCTTGAGCATGCTTTTTCTTCTAGGTGAACATGGAAATGCTGTCAAAGCAATATGGAACTCATAATCTGGGGAAACACACTTCAGAGAATGTTGATGTACTTAAATGGAACTTTTGTTTTCTCTCTCCTCTCAGGTCAAAAATATCTTCAGATTTCTTCTTATAGTCTGTGTGGAACTTAGGGTCAAGGAGTTCTATTATTATACTCTATAATCACAGGACACTGTCAACATTGATTGGATTGGATTTGCAAATCCTGAAAAAGATTAAAAGAATGGTAGCATAATTATATTCTTCCTGGGAACTTCTTTCTACCCGTTTATTGATTTACATGATAATCAACTCTCCAGAGAAGAAATTACTGGACACAGAGCAAAGAAGTTTCTTGTTCTTAAAGACTTAATCTATGTCACAAGTTATTTATGTGGACTTTGAATCTAAAAGAAATTCTTTTGTTTTAATAATATATAGAACAGTGATGCAAATTTCTTCCCTTTGTAACAATCATCCTGATGCTATCAGAACTCTATTTCTCATAGCTCATACCATGTTGCCTTTCACCCTTACTGAAATGAATAATGCCAATCTGATGCCACGCTAACGTCATCAGCACCCTGAAATGAGTCCAGAAGAACGGAAATGAGAGATCCTCTGCTCTCTGCATAGCAACTTTATAATCCTTTCCCATTCCCTGGAACTCACGCCAAATATATATGGCAAAGGTATATTTTAGATGAGTTGGATGCATTTCTGTTCCCATGGCACAGGAAGATCAATATCATTTTCTTTGATGGCAGAAGTCTTATTTTCTGTAGTCATCATTTTTAAAGCAAATAATGTTATTGATTATTATCAAAAGGAAAGCCTAGGCTCAACTGTGTCAAATTGAAAACAGTCACCAAGGGCAGGGGCGTATGTGTGTGTGTGTGTGTGTGTGTGTGTGTGTGTGTGTGCACGCGCACATATACACATGTCACGACAAATGTGGAGAACAGAGAACAACTTTTATGGGTGAGTTCCCTCATCATGTGAGCCCAGGGTCATCAGGCTTAGTTGCAAGTGCCTTTACTCACTGAACTCACCAGCCTACAACTTTCTTATTTCATTTAGAAGTTGGAAATATTTATTAATCCAAAGCTGCTTCCTGAGAAAGGCTAGACAGTATTGCATATATACCCCAAAACTTCCTCAGGTACAAATGGGAAAAAAAAAAACTTCACAAAGAAAAGAATATAAATCTAGTCCTTCAGTTTCATGATAAAACCTCCCCTTAGCCATCAGCATAGACTCCTGGAGCCCATTTATCGCCCATCAACAATGTGGAGGCTGTAAGCTTTAGGTCTCAGCCTACCTGCTCTTCACTGTCTGTTCCTTACCCACCTGAGGTGACTGATGATTGAGAAGAATTTTCAGAGAAGCATGGCTAGAGATGAATTTCTTTAGCCTAAATTCTTCTTTGACCTAAATTCTATTCCCATAGTAAGTAAAAACAACAACAACAAAGCCTAACAAATAGCACACTGTGTTCTGCCTCAGAGAAAACCTTCACAAGCCCATGACTTAGTATTCTTCCTTTGGTTTTCATACTTGAAAAGGGTGCACATAAAAATGTCCATATAGTCCAAATAAGTAAGACTGAAGATAATAAATGCACTGCATTAATTGGATATCTCCATGACAGATTTAAAAAAAAAAAAACAATAACAGCAAAACATCTCTTAGGTTGATATAATTAATTTCTTAGGTAATGAGGATAAAGATTGCTATAGTCACCCTATCTCTCTCTTTTATCTCAGCTTCCAGTATGCTCAGAGCAATGCTGGGGAATCAATTGCAGTAATTTTATTAAAATTTTTATGACACAGCTATAATCCACCTTGTGGCTGCTCTTACTCTGTTGCTATCTTTTACTGGTTCTTTAGTATTTTAGCTTTTATTGTAAATCATTTAAAAAACCTTTGGGGCAGTAGATAAAACCAAAATAATAAGTAAACCACACATAAATTTTATATCACCATTGGAAGAATTTGATAGAGTATAGCTAGCGGTGGAAAGTTGATAAATTGCCAAAAAAGAGAAAGCACAGATAGAAACAGGACAAAGACCTCTTCTCTACAAGGAAAAGCAAGGGGAATGATCTGACCTGTGGAACCCATTTACTTTCTGAAATGGATTAGGATTTTCACCCACTCTGGATAGAATAGATCTCCCACCAGGATTTGGAACAAACTGTTGGTAATGCTTTTTCATTGTTGGTGTTTCTGTAGCAGGGATGGAACTGAGGCCTTGTGCATGCAAGGCAAGTACTCTAACACTGAGCTACAGCCACAGCCCTATTGATAATGTTTTAAATATATATTTATTTGTTCTATAGGGGGTGTGCTGGATAGCTTTAGTGTCAAGTTGACACACCTGGGTTGAGGGAGCCTCAATTGGGGAATTGCCTCTATTGGACTGGCCTGTGGCCATGTCTGAGGGGCATCTTCTTGATGAGTGATGTGGGAGGGCCCAGCCCACTGTGGGTGGTGCCACCCCTGGGCAGGTGGGCCTGTGTTGCATAAGAAAGCAGGCTGAGCAGGGGCCAGGGGAGCAAGTCAGTAAGCAGAGTTCCTCCATGGCCTGT